CCTAAGAAAAACTGATAATCAGTTTAAATAACCTAAGCAATGTCCTAAAATCCTGAGCTACAAGCCCGAAACTCAAAGGTAAGCTTGAGATGCCCCAAAGGATCCTTAAATCCAAACTGAATCATCCGAAACCAACAGCAGTCAACTCTCAACGAAGCCTGACTTGCCCTCCAAACCAACACCTCACACCACAGAGGGGGAGGGGGGGAACCATAACCACAGGGGGGGAGGGGGGAACGATAACCACAAGGGGGCGGGGGCACCACACCCACAGGGGGGTGGGGGGTACCATGACCATTGGGTTGGGGGGGAGGGGGGCACGAGCCCTGACCCATATATATATATATATATACATATTTAATCATATGCATATATACATACACATTTTGGCCGGGGCTCAAGTTCTTTCCGGGTGTTCCTTCTCATCTCAGATGCTTTCTGGATACCAACATGTGTTTTCACCAACAGTCAAAAAGGCCTAATATGTGATGAGTTGGCATGCAGCCTTGGTAGTAGTAGCCAGTTGGCATCAGCTCCATGGTCCAAACTTGGAGCACTGAGACACCAAGGGCCCAGCTTTCGCCAGAAAGCGAAAGACAGCCGCGCTCCTTACTTGCCCGCTCCAACGTGCACCGCGTGGATGCTACTCCTTGTCGCTCTGCAGCGGGGTGCAGTGACAGCATGCAATACTCCTACCTAAGCGCACCGGCTTGACAACTGTGGAAGTCATATATGGCGTGTTTGCTTGGCAGTCTGTGCAAGTGCTGCCTTGCACTTTGATCTTCTTGCTTGTTCCTGCACAGCTTCCGTCCGTTGTAAGCAGTGCCGTCGCAGGATGAGAACAGAAAGAAGGTTGCCCCTGATGGCGGGAGCCACATGGCAATGACTCCTTAGCGCACTTGATCGCTGAGACAGCCCTTGGCGTGACAAGACACCATTTGGAGTGTATGTCGCCACTTTGGAGACACGTGTGCGGCTTGCGCCTTTTGTTGTTGAGGTGTGCGCAAATTGGACAGGTAGTTAGACTGTGCTGCCGCATGATGAGAACAGAAAGAAGGTTGCCCCTGATGGCGGGAGCCACATGGCAATGACCCCTTAGCGCACTTGATCGCTGAGACAGCCCCTTGCTTGACAAAAGACTGAGTCGATGTATGCTGCTACGTGGCGACAAGAATGTGGCATGGTTCACGTCTTGCATTTAGAGGTGCTGTGACCGTGCTCTTACATTGACCAGGTAGTTGGAAGCAGCTGCAAATATGCTGCCGCTTGATGAGAACATACAGGTTGCCCTGATGGCGGGAGCCACATGACAATGACTCCTAAGCGCGCTCTTGGCTTGACAACAGCAGCTGTGGATGTACTTGCCACTTTGGCAACAGTTGTATATGGCATGTTTGCTTGGCAGTCTGTGCAAGTGCAAGGCCACTTTGAGCTGCTTGCTTGTTCCTGCATAGCTTCCGTCCGTTGTCGGTTAAGTTTGCTGGAAGCAGTGCTGTCGCAGGATGAGAACAGAAAGAAGGTTGCCCCTAATGGCGGGAGCCACATGGCAATGACTCCTTAGCGCACTTGATCGCTGAGACTCCGCATGCTGAGCGATACATGCTGAACGATACATGTCCTGCAGGATGGTTGGACCTTGAAAGACATCAATGCGGTTTTGGAGAATAGGCTTTCCTCCCGCCATTTGGGGCACGCACCTGAGATCTTCTTGGAAGGCCACTCCTCTCAATGGAACCCCAGTAGAAGGTGCGAACCATAGTCTCGCACGACATCATCTTCGGTAGCTTGGCCCTATCAGAGGCCCTGCCTCGACCTCGCTCAGTATACAGCATTTTTCCAGCATTTGCTCACTGCTCCTTGAATGCATGAGCTTGCTGGAAAATGTCGAAGGGGATCCTTGCTGGGTTGGGATGCTTGGTATTCCTGGCGGGCTTTTCATTCTGTTCAAAAGTTCGCACACGGACAGTACCTGCGCGGAGGCACTTTGGTCAAGGTCAAATCTTTACATATATATATATATTTATACCTTGAGTTGTGACTCCGGATATGCTGAGTGGGACGTACCAGTCCCTTGCCATGGGGAAGTTGAGGTGATTTGGCGCATGGCGCCGACATCCTAGCGGTGGCCTCGGAGCAGAATTTCGTTCAACTTGGCCTGATTTTGTCACCTATTGTGATGCGCAAAGACTTGGAATTCCTCCAAACGGCACGGGTTTAATGTTGGCTTTCTTTTGAACCTACCTATGGGTGCCCCTTTTGACCCGCAACCAGTTCTTTCCGAGTAGCTTTAGACGGAACTGGTCGAGACTGATTGCCATAGCATTTCTCGCCCACTTAAGCAAACGGACGTTTCTATGTGCCTCATGTTTTGGGGCTTGCGTTTGGTAGTGGGACGGAACAGGTATACGTCATAAGTACATGGACTCAACTAGCCGAAGGTCGTGCAAAGAAGCATCTGAACCCGCTGGGGGCCAGCCAACTTGTAGAAACCAAAGTCGATGGATTTTGGGCACTGCCCATGTATGATTCCAGACTCCAATCACAGTCGCAGTGTATTTTGCGCATTTTTATAACGAGCTGACCTGGGGAGTAGACGAGGTCACCCATCATAAAGGCTCCTTACGCCGGCATTCCTTATTTCGTTTTGTGAGCTTTACGATCTTGTGCAGATCGCCTCTCCTTTGTGTTGATGTGCTGCTGACAGAACTAATTATGACCGATGGTGCCTACCTTTCAGCAATCGCCACTGGTCAACTTGCAGGGAAAGCAACTGCTTTGTACGAAACTAATGCCTGACCCAAGGCCATGTTGGGCGAATTCTCAAATTCTAGCGACCGCACAAGCAAGCTGACCATGAACGCTCCTTCCTACGGGGTCCCTTATTTTGGGTCGGTGAGTTGTTAGGATTCACCTCGATGCTTGTGAAGCGGGGCGTGTCTTGATTTTGGCGGCTCATTTGACGCACAATACCTGTCAGGTTTCAACACCAGGGCGGCTGGTGGATGCTCTTCACAAGGGTATGGTGAGATTGGAGCAGGCTGGGTGCAGGTGGGTGTGTCTATTGAATGATACCGTGACAATGACACCCCTTTTAGGGCAGTTTTGGCTACCCGCCTGTGTAGGCGTTTTTGTGTGTTGTACATGTTCAGTCAGAATCACATTACTTCAACCTGCATGAGTACCTTTCACAAGATCTGCGTGCTTTTCACGGAGACCTGGTTGCGTGGGGCGTTGACAACGGTCGCGTGTCATTGAGCACCAGAGCTGGGCGCAGGTCCGCTTCCTCGTCTTAGACGAGGTTGACCGGATGATGGAGCTGGGCGGGTGTCTCAGCAACTCATGGCTGAAGGACTTGAAGCAGCCTCGTTGTTGAACGTTTGTTTGAAAATCCCATGGCGAGCTGAAAGGTGGGAGTTTTGCGGTATGAGCAACGGGCTCAACTGATGATTGTGGGCCAGAAGGTCCATCGCCATGATGGAGGCTGGACAATCGGGTTCATTGTTTGCGCAAACTTGTCTAGGCAAAGAGGGGCGTAGATTTAACATGGAGTCTGATGAAACCTGCTTTTGTCACATCCGAGTTGACAAACAGCATGAAATCACCGGCCGGTCTCTTTGGCTTTCTCCCCAAGGGACCCAGCCAAAGATCCAGAATTGGGCCATAGTTGTTTGGCGTATTTTGACACAGATAGATCATTCAAACGGGAGAATTAAGGGTGCTTCTTCAGGGACGGTCGGCATTCTCCCCTGGGCCCCAGGTTTTGGCAGCCAATTGGAAGAGATCGTCACCATGGGCGCCATGCAACGTCCTTGGCGAGGTAAAGGCCAGTCTCAAACTGCCACTTCTCCGTTGCAAACGGTAGATGAGATGACACCAAGGTGTTGACTTTCAGTCGTTTGATTTATCCACCTTTTTCAAAGATGTTTTTTGTTGGTGGTTTGTCTAAAATTTATCAGCCCACTGAGGGGGGGAGGAGGCAGAGTCAGAGTCTAAGCCCTAAACGCTTAGCCGCGGAGCTTGACATATCCCTTTCAGAGCCGCTTCAAAGTAGGAGCCGTAATGTCCATAGCGTGGCTTGGGCGCCCATGCCTACCCTGCGGGAAGGCACAAGAGTCTCAAAGGCGGCTGGCTACTTCAGAGTTTTTGCTCACATAGACTTTGATCGTAGATGTTGATTGAAGTTGCACAAGACTCTCGTCCGCAATCGTTCGAATCGGTTCTACCAAACTCATCCCCTACACAGCAGAAAGGACCGCCGTGGCCTCCTTCCCCCAGTCCCAAACAGAAATGGTCAAAAGGGAAGCCTGTGGCTCAGGCCGAGCAAGGTGGGTGGGCGCCAGACCACCGCCGGGAGCCCAAGCCAGTTGGCTCCGAGCGCTCGTTTTGGGATCCTTCGGTGGTGCCGCCTTTAGAAGGGGCCGCGACCTAACAAAAACGTTTTGGTAGGGCATATGTATCCAAACCTGGAAAGGGTGGCGGAGGGTTCTGAAGGGTTCCATGAAGTTGGGATATCACGCGCGCTTGTTTCAAACTCGAGCGTGAAATAGAAATCAGCCTCGCCTGGTCCAAGTCGAGTGGACACCATTATACGTGCCGATTCTTCATCTTGACATGCGCACGTCTCTTGGGCATTCTTCTTTATATTGTTTCTTATTGTTTCTTATTTGCGACCGGTTGAGTGTTTGTTTAGTGGACGTTGGCTTCAAGGAAAAGGCTCGGGGAGCTCCAGTGAGATGCCCTCAAACACCGCATGCGGACGGATTCTTTGCGCCTCACTCAACCTCCGCACTCCGCGAGTCCCAGAAGCGTTCGGTTTCTGCCTTTTCCCTCACTTGGTTGCTTTTTGGTTCTGAGCCAACCTTTCTTTGGCCTGGAAAACGAACATTCCCAAGGCCAAAAGGACCGCGTGCTTTTGAAGAAACCCACCTGTGCCCTCCCACCCGCCGGACCCGCCGGACCCGGTCTGCACCTCTGCACCTGCCATCTCACGTCCCGCTGAGTTCTGGTCCGCCACCATCCCGCTGTCAGTGCGGGACCTGGCGCAAGCCTTCCTGGGCCGCAACTGCGCCCGGGGGCCGAGAAGTTTGGAGCCTCGGAGCCACGTCATTTGAGCCATGTGAGGCCTCATGTTGTGCATTTTGAGACTTGCTCGATACGAGACGAATCTATGAATGTCACTTTGGGGGCCAAGTCTGAGGTAGAAGTGGGTGCCTTTTGGGCGGTTTGTGGCGTTGAATATCTATAGATTGGCGTTGACAAATCGAGCTAGCATGGTTGTGGAGCTATTCAAGGGCTGGTTTCGATCTCATGACCTGCATGCCTTGGTCAACAGAGTCGTACAGCAGGGCCTGGCAACTGATTCCACTCAGATTCCACTCTGTACTTCACCTTGGACCCATTAAATACTCATTAGAATGGCACAATCTTCTCCGAGTGGTTTGCACTGCGAGTGAATGGAGATTGGGAATTGCTATTGACTAGGATATTGTTTCTCAGAGCCCACAACAGCGATCAGCTGTATTGAAGAAGGGCTCGTAGACTGCTCCCTTTCAACGTAATCTTTTTGAACGCTCAAGCGCCCTGCCCCTATTTTGGGGTTCCCAGCATGGATCTTGGCAAGGATCCAACCCCCCTTCAAGAGTCCTTTTCTCTCGCAACGACCCGGGGGTCCGCACTTGGGATCCGACCCGCTCTGACCCGAGATCCGAAATATCAGGTTTGGGTGGACTGCACCGGCGGCGAGAGCAACCCCGTGGTGCGCCTTGCTCGAGTGGTTCGGCAGATTTTGTCCCTTGTCGAAGGGTTTCTGAAGCAACGAAGGAACCTGACCTGCAGTGCAAGCACAGGCTTTCCTGGCCCATCCAAAATCGGCCATTGCGGTTGGGCCCTCAAGACAGGAGAACGGCCAGAGGTGACCCAAAGTTGGCGTGCAAGATGTCCGAATCCACAAGCAACTGAACATGTATTTGTCAGTCTTTAGAGGACATAGATCTAAGCTCCCCTTGCCCGCAGAAACCAGGGGGCAGAACATCCAATCCGCCAACGTCGTCCTGGGCAACAAGCATAGTTTGGCAGATTGCGGCGACCCCACAAAAAGCTGCCTTTCGCTCAGAAGATTGTTTGCAATATTAATCAACACCAGCTCTTCGGAGAGCCCATGCAATCCACCCGGGCCACAGACATGGCCGCGAGCGGATTCCAGAAATCCTCGAAGGGATACAGACCCTGTTGATTTTTGGGATGTGGGTGTCTCCACTTTGAAGCAATCCTAGATCTATGCTCCACGAGCCTCACGCCTTGCGCGCAGCCCACGACCATTACGCACATGTTCATCGACGCGCGGCCTCCTCACCGCATCATGCGAGAGCCGGGGACCCGGGGCTCTCTGCTTTGTGTACCTGGGTCGAGAGTTTCAGGATGGTGCGATGAATCAGTTAAAGCATACAATCAGTCAGGCTATTTTCCAGAAGTAGGGACCCCTAGACCACAACCTTGTAGGTCAGTCCCTTGACTTTTGCGTCGTGTTTAAGGGAATCAATGTGTAACACATAACATCGCCCCACTTGAAGGCGTTCCCTTTTCTTCAGGATTCATGCTGCTCCTGTATGTTGCTCAGGCAGCAGCCAGCAACAGGTGCCAACACAGCATGGCAAACGAGGCCCACACTTCAACATGGGCCCTAGAATGTTTCACTCTTTTTTTGGCTCCACCTGAAACTTGCACCATGTTGCTAGAATACCATTAACCACCTTTTGGAAAGCCAACCGCGGGATTGAGGGTCATCCCCAAGACCAGCGAACTCATCAGCTAGGGTCGTGCCGTCTCAGCGGTTTCGAGTGTGAAGCTTGAGGTTCCAACCTGGCGACCAGGTGATCACCAAGGGCGGAAGGCCCGGCGACGGCGCTGAGTTTGCTGATGGAAGCGCGATCCTGTGTGTGAAGGGTGAATTGGGGGGTTCTGGTTCAAAGGTACGAAAGGAAGCCAAGCTTTGTTTGGGTCAAAGGCAAGGACTCTGCGGTCAACAGTATGGGAAGCACAACATGCAGGAATCTTAAGTACGAGCTCACCCAATTGCACTGTGGCTGAACGCGAGACCATACACTAGTGTCGAAATCCACCCCAATGCAGGTTTCACCTGTTTTCGCCAGTCCAAGGCCAAATCAGCCCTTCGACCATTTGCGCCCAAATCGACCCAGCGATGCGATTCCGGAGGAAGGGCATCGTAGAGTTCCAGGTGGGGCGCCGGGCGCCTGAGAAGTTCGAGGCTGCCACGGCTGATTTGTTGACTCTCAAGTAGACTGAAACCTGCGTCACCCTTGGATTTGGGCATCCCGCAGCTTTTGAATACATCAGTGTTGAGGCCATTAAACCAGTTGGACCCCTGAGGGGCGGCTGTGGCCTTGGTTTCCCACACCATGTACAGCCAGGGTTCAAGGCACATCCTGCAATTGAATATCGTCTCGTTGGACGCCATTTCGACTGAGGCCGGTGGCGGGTCCAGTTCGACGATGGGGACCTGGTGCAGCGGAAGATGCTGCAGAAGGCGAATTTCATGCCAGGGTGGCATGAAAACTCTGTCGCCGTTCTTGAATGAATAGGCAGTGGTCTCGCGCAAGTGACAAGTAGCGCCCAATGAGGCCCTTCTCGGTCCACGGGGCCCTTTTCGGGGGTCCACGCAGGATGTTAATTGGATGCAGACACAGTTGCGTTTTCTAACTTAGGAAGATGTGGGTGGATCTTTGCATACATGGCCCACTGAGAGAACCAAGTATTTGGCCTCAAAAAAGGGAGCAATGCCCAAAACGAGTGAGCTATTGTTTGCAAAATGATTCAACACCTGGATTGTCACTGAGCAGGTCAATCGTAATCCTGCCACAAGCAAGCCAAATGCTGGGCCCTCTTACATGGCTGACTGTGGATGGTCATCCTTGAACGACTTTGAATAGCAGACAATCAGGATCTATTCACCAACTGGCCCAGCTTAGACTCCAGCCGCACAGCTGCCAACAATGAACTTGCAAGCCGCACTTCTCCCACGGCTGTCGATCCCCGTGAAGCTGCGGCTCGGTCTGACTGGTGACAGGGGCGGCTGCACCATACGAGTTTGCGCATCGACGGCGTCAAGAAGCATAAGCTGGAGTTGCTGGGGCCCCAGCCCACGCGCCGGAAGGAAAGCAGCTGGGCAGCTGCAGTTTAGATCATGTGTTGGCAAAGTGTGTCTTCAAATCAAGGGCTCTGTTGATGGTTGGTCTCCCCTTGTGGCTTTCCGTTCTTGTTTCAGCGAAGCCGCCCCTACTGACAATGAGATCTTGTTTCAGCGTGAAGCTTCCATTCAGAGGGCGCGGACCAGGAAAGCTCATTCAGCCGCAAAATAATACCTTGAAGGTATGAAGGAACTACGTCAGCAAGCGACTTTCGATCATTGTCCTTCAATACGACTGGGGGTGTTCAGCTGTTCCAGCTTCATACCCACAACATCGTGCGAGCATCTCGATTAACTTGATGTAGAATGAGTTTACTCGTGATTTGTCCCGTCTTCTGGTTCTCTCTCCATCACTCTCTCTCTCTCTCTCTCTCTCTCCCGTTATCTATGTTTCTCCCTGTCTCACATGTGTCATATCAACCTTTCGCATCAGTATGAGTGCCGTGCTGTTATTTGCCAGCTGCTACTCCGAGTTTTGCATGTAATGCTCAGAGCTACATGCGTCGCCGCATAGTCAATGTGCATCGGTGCGTTGGGCAGGTTCTTTCCACTGGTGTAGTGTCAGAGAGCTTCTTCCCTGGAGCTTGGAGTACTTCACTCCGTTTGACACCACGAAGAAGCAAGGACCTAAGGAGCAGGATGGGTTAGGGGAGCATCCCTTCAAGTACAAGGCGAGCCACTCAGTGCCATAGGCGAGCCATGGGAAGGTGATAGCCCGTGTCACAAGTTACTAGGCCCTTAGGTGAGTTACATTTAGTTACGCCCGTGGCTCTGATCAAGAGACTCGCTCACCTAAAGCAAATCCGAAAGGCTATCGGATGACAGTTAGCGCAGTCGGGTTCCGCAGGTCGGGTGACATTTAGCGACTTGGGCCAGGCTCAGAGAAATCCTGGAGTCCAGAGAGTTCGAAGAGGCGCTCTGCTTGGAAGATGGTAGTGCAGTGGTTTCACTAAAGGAAACTGGTGCAACCCAAAGCCTCACTGCCGGCATGGTTTCCCAGCGAGTTTAAGCAAAGCACTCCCAGGTGGGAGTGGATACATGATTCCACACCGGGGGGGATTTTCACAGATCCGTTTTCGGAGACCATGGCGAGCCCATCAGCCCAGCATTACCCGGAGGCAACGATCATCATCTTCTGTCGACGCCGGGATACGGCAGCGCGCCCAGGGGGGCATCTAAAGGGCTCTCGGCGTGGCGGGAGTTGTGTGGAGGACTGAGGGAAGGTGGGGGGGGAAGGGGGGTTTGGGTAGCATACCTAGAATAAGTTGTTGGGGCCACCGGAGCCAATCTAAGGGTAATCTCTGAAAACCTCATTTGTTACAACAAGACAAGAAAGAGTTACCCTGTCCCTCGTTAGTCTGAGCTACAGCTGATCAGTTTCGCGTATTGAAGGACGCCTGTGGAAGCCCGCTCGCATCCATGCATCCCTTGAGCAGCAAGCGCTCATTGCCAGTATGGCCAGTGAGGGTTTTGTAGTGCCCCAGCTGTTTCAGGCAATAATCAGAGGTTTTTGTAAATGCGCCCTCCTCAGAAAACATTGACATGGACTATGTTTCTTTGATTCCCTTTTAAACCAACCCCAAAAAGAGTTCAATCTTGAGTCCCGGAGAGAGAACAACAACGAAGTAGGCAAAGGCCAAGACCCTCCTTGGGCCAAAACACATGTTCTGGGTGCGGGTGCCCGGTTTGGGCGTGGTATGCTATAATATCGTACCTGGTAGATTGCAGTACCCCCAAATTTATGGGTCTTCCTTTTGGTTTCCTTTTAACGCCACAGAAAAGGGCGGAGTAGTCCAGGTCATGGAGGTCTACAGCTACTTGAAGCAGCACTTTCTGGGCGCAACTTGCCTGCCGCGTCGTGCATTTGCCTTGGAGTTCGTATGGGACATCGGCTGCGAAGAGATGAACTTGTCACGGGGATGGGAAACGCAGATGTCTGGCCCCCATGTTCCACAAAGATATTCCCAGGAAGAAGCTCTTGAGCAAAGGGGAAGGTGCTAGAATTTACATAGATTGTCCGAACAATGTAACAATATGGGGAAGTCTTTGTACTTGGAATCAAAAGAAGAAATCCAAGAGAGCACCGTTGTGGAGCGTTGGCTAAACATGCTATCCAACTATTCGGTGGCACAGGTCTGTATTTCCAGTTGTCGCTAGCAGTGATCCACTAGCAGTCGGGACAGACTGGTTTCGCAAGCCTGCGGTGCAAAAGCGCCAAGGGTGATTGTATTACACCTGATTACACCCCAGGGCGGTTACACGTGTCAAGAGACCTGGGTTTTATCCGACATATCTGAGAATCGAGTGATTTCCACGTGTGTCGAGGCCCACCTTGGATACAGCGCTGGCCATACGCAGTGCACACCACCTCGCCACAGTGCAATGACGTGAAAAAGATGCGACGAGGCAACCCTTGCATCGGACCGTGACAGAATCAAAAAAAACACCCACACACACACATTCGGTGGGTTCTGAGCCATGAACAGGCTGGGTCCATTCAAGTTTTCACATTTTTGGTTGAGGCTATCAAGCTTGCTTGGGCCACTGTCACATTTTTGAGTTTGGGTGGGGAGTTGGGAGGGTGGGGATGTGGGGGGTTTGGGGGTGGGTGGGGAGGGGACTGCATGGCTCCGCCAGCTTGTCCTACCTTCCTACAGCGCCCACCCAGCAAAGCTGTGCTTCGCAAGCGCGGCGACGATGCCGGGCCCGTTTGGGTTTTGTACACGGTTCAAGACGCTAGTGTTCATTGCTCCGCAAAGAGCGTCTTGCACTTTCCAGATTCCTTGATTGGAGCATTCTGTATTTGACACGGTCCAAATCCCCGTTTCCAAGATCTGCTGTCTGAACACTGACTGAACATCCGCATGTGGCAGGCCTGGCAGCGCAGCTTTCCTCAGCAAGACTTTTAGAACCAAACTAAGTAGTTTGGCAAAAGTCGTCAACAGAACAGCCTAGCTGTTGACAGGCCACCTCAGGATCCAGGCGGCGTTGCTCCAGGAGCTCGTGCCCGCCAAGCCGGCGTGCAGGCGGAGAGCTGCACGCTTTGAGGGCGCCTTCCTGTTGGAGGCGCTTCAGCAGCGCAGCCCAGACCCGGGACATCTCAACACACTGGTATTCCGCTTGGCGCCTACATATTCATGAGGGAGCCAGGTTCTCGTGCTGCCTCACAAGAAGGTGCTTACGAGGAGAACAGGTTGGCTTCGCTGGTTGCCAATGAACCACAGGTGCCCTTCCCAAGCAGCAAAAGGGCTTCGCCGGAGCAGGAGGCCCAGATGGCTGCTCTTGAGACCCAGCCTCAGGAAGCCAACGCAAGTCAAGCGTGCTGCGCGCACTCTCAAACTGAGTTCGAGGAAGAGCGCGGGTGTGATCAAGTGCAGCCTTGCGGAGTTGCCTATGGTGCCAAAGCAAGTCCCACCCCGCTTTGCCAGCGAGGCGCTGCTGCGGCTGCTGCCAGCGGCGCGTGAAGCCCTGCTTTTTTGTGTCACTTGCAAAAAGTTTAGGAAGCTGGCCTTGTCAACCATTGCCCAAGCTTTGGCTCAGTACCTGGGTTCTGTGACAGACAAAGTCAATCCGCAGCAACTGGTGTAGGGCACGCCTTGGCTGCAGCGCGAACCTTCAAAAGTCAAGGTGAATTTGCGCAATTCCGCCTGCCACGTGGCAATGCTTCAACTCATGAGTTGGGGTACGCCCGGTCAACCAGCCATTGAGCGGGGCTCATTGTGTCACCTGTTGTTTATGTGTGTGTCCCTGGTCCTTAAACCTACTTGCGCCGCTTGGGGCTGGCGTTGAGAATGGCGGCTGCCTGGCATCCACCCCCAAGTGCCTTGGCGTGATCCAAGGTCATGACCTGCCACGGCGGCATGACGCAGTCCTTCAGGAGCAAGTCCATTAAGGCACGACGAGCCTCGCTTCGTTGCGAATTGGTGCTTCCCTGCTTTGTTAATCTCCTTCTTCGCTTCAACTACTTTGCTGTTTGTGTCTGGTGTTGAGGTAGTGGAGCCTGTGAGGCTTACTTGTTCAGAGGGTGTTCCCGTTTTTGGCTCAATGGCGGCGCTTGAGAGTTGCCTGGTTGTAACGCCACTCAAGCCACTCCAACTTGTTTGGGTTTGGCAAGCTGGGATTTTCAGTCGCGAGCGGGGACTTTGGAGGCCTTGAAGGAGGGCAAGGCGGAGATTTTGGTGGCCACGGACATCGCGGCCGGGGCCCAAGGATATGGAAATCGAAAATGTGAACAGGCTCTCCTTGAAAGACGGACTTTTACTGCAACCTCATTAATTAAGGGTCTCTGTTTGACGTCGTCCTTGCAAAAGGTTCCTTTTATGGGAAAACCCATTGCTTTGGGTTGGCGTAAATTCTTTTAGATTTTCTCAAGACCAGGGATGAGCCAACGGACCTTGCCTTGCGCACGTTTTGGCGACAAGTCCGGTCGTGTGCCTCATGGACATGTCCGAAAGGGGGTGGGGGGATTGGGCAGACTCGTGTATTGAGCCCGAGGCGCGCGGCCTGGATGTCCCTGCGGTGACGCATGTAGTGAACTACGAGCTGCCTCTTGTCTGGGCGCTCGGAGCGAGTTGGCGTGTGGCAGGACGTGCTGACGGATTTTGGTGCCCGAATGGGATCCCAGATCATGCTGCTACTGTAGGTGTAGCCAAGATCGATGCCCAGTTCATCCACACTTGAACAACAGCTCGGATTGCTCAGTGCTACAGCTTTAGGCATAATCCTCCTCACCGACCTTGAGTCTCGCTGAACTTGGCTCTTGTTTGCGGGTCTCGAGCACCGTGCAGAATTGCCTTCCGTGGAGGGTACCCCATACTTTTACTTGCCCTCGAGGTCCTGGACGAGTTTGTGCATCGCGTCGGCCGCAGCAGCCTCAGCGGAGCCGGACTCACCCGGAAATAAGCAACGTTTGACAGATTCCCCCCAAAACCTTAGACAGTCGAACACCAACATCCATGGAGTTTTGCTGCAGTGAGGCGCATGTTGGTAGGCAGATGTAGGCAGCTAACACTCTTGGGTCAGGCGCTTGATTCTTCGGTGGCTAGATGTGTAAATTAAAGGCACGTATTGTGGTCGGCACCAGACTCATCGACTTTAAGTCTGTGTCCGCGGCCTTCGCCCTTGTCCCTTATGTTTTCTGTTTAGATGGCTTTGATCAAACCTGGGATGGTTTCCATTCCAAGTTGGCAAATCATTAGAAAAGCGGGCTCTCCAGCCTAAGGACAAACTGACAGGTGATACGTTGACCCGATTCATTTGTGGGGAGATGCAAATGCTGGGACAGAGTTTGGAGCTGTTGATTGGCATGTGTCGCGCAGATGCTGTTGACCTTTCAGTCAGCCGTATGTTGGATAGATGGCACGCAGCAGCACGTTTTCAATCTTGATTTCAGACTCACACAACTTGCTTGCTTTCCACCCGTCTTCAGCCTACCACCATGACTTGCACAACCAGAGCCTCCAAGCACCTTCTTGGTGCCGTGCTTCTGCGCTCAGCTTGGCTCGGGCGGAGGCACAGGCCGCATTGGCCGCAGCGGCACCACGGTGACCCTCGTCACGGGCCGCGAGAAGATCTTCGGGGCGCGCCGCGAGGGAGTTCCGGTTTTCCTCTAAAACCAGCCCCCCAAAACAGCACATCCGGCTCTGCTGAGTTGTCCAAAGCGAATCGACTTGGAATGACCTCTACAAGTTTGGTCTATGTTTGGTCAAGGTTTCAACAGGTTCAACTTCCAGCTCCTTGGGGCAAGTGAGCCCGAGCTGTCCGTGAAGCGGAATGTTGAGCCTTCCTGTCCAAAGGGCAAATCAAGGCGCACACCGGCTTCCGACATTCTGCTTCCACACATCACACAACGCAACACAAGACAAGACAAGACAAGACAAAACAACACACAAACAGTGTGCACACAACCACCTTCTGGCCTCAACAACATATTCCAAATTCCCCGCTAAACCAAACGTCATGTTGACTCGGAACGAAACCAGATGTTGGGGCAGGTATGAGTGGCAGGATGTTCTTTGCCCATCGGCTGTCCGAAGTGGGGCCTCCCAATTTAGTCGCGCATGTGTTGAGTCTTTCCGACAGTTGTTCATGCTTGCAAGTCAGCACAACTTTGTCGAAAATGACCAGGGTCATGATGCCTATATTTTATGTTTACAGTTTCTTTTAACGAAAATAACCACATTTTTTCTACTCCTGACTTCAACACTTTCCCAAAGCCATGCAGCCCGACATCCGGCGTGACAGGGGAAATCTGTGGGCGTGTCGTTGTTCCCTGAGAATGGCCCGAGCTGTCAAGAGATGGTCCTTGGGCACCAAGGGTCCACATCGACATGAGTGTTTGTTCAGCAGGAAAGTGTTTTAGTGGAGGCGTGCGATTGCTATTGTGCCAGCCTGCAGGTGTAGTCTGTGACATTTGCTTTGGCCTCTAGTTGGTCACGGTTGCGCTGGTCGCCTGGTATCAAACACTGTTGTTGTTACTTTTCTTCTCAAGTGCTACTTGTCCCCCTATCGACTCAGCGCAACTGTGTCCAACTAGGGGTGGGTGGGGGTCGGGGGTTTTGTTCGGTCCCTGCGGTTCTTTTCGCGGCTCGGTAGGGGTGTCTGCTGACCCTGGCCCAGTTGAGTCCTGGGCAGACCAGTAGCTTGTTGAACGGTGTCAGCAAACGTGGTGTTTCCGGCATTCATTCTGATGGTGCATTGTGTTGGCCAAAGGCAGCTCGCACCCTAAAAGTGAAGAACTTTCATCAGGGGAGCCACCAACGAACAGAATCCTGTAGACACGTAGATGATGTCAGAAGTCTCAAGTTGTCCAAGGCTCATAGATTTCACTCGGCTGATCATGAATGGCAGTCATTGAACGCTTTCTTGCCCCCGCAGCTCCACCGCAAATGTTGGTGTGACAATAATTCGGATGTTAATGTTCATTTCATTTTGAAACAAAGAACTTATCAATTCGTGTGGAAACAAAGTCTGGGAACTGCTTCGCCTAATGCTTTGTTGGGGGCACTGGCAAAATTGTCGCGCAGTTAGCCGAACAAAGTAGTTTTGCACGTTGAAGTCTGCCACAAGGCGAGCGACATGAGTAAAAGCCCAACGTTTTTGACAGTGACGGCTCCAAAAAAACCAGGCGACTAGCGCAACCGTGACCCTCTAGTTCGTGCATGTGATTCAGCTCTGCAAACGCGCATTCTCATCCTTCCTTCCATGTTCCTGGCCATTTTTCCTGGGACGCTTTTGCTCCTCTGCTTTCTTCACCTGACCTGCGCCGTGGGCTGGTTGTGGCCCCTTCCGGGTGCGGGGTTTTATACTTCATTTCTGATCGTTTTCTGCTCGGCTTCCCCAAACTTCCCAACCCTGCGCGTTGGAATGCTGCCTGCCTGCCGCGCGCTCCGCGCCAGCCGATGCGGCGGATGCTCCTCTCCCAGGGTCACGAGTTGCCAGAGTGGATGAGCCTGCAGGCGGGTTTGCGGCAGCAGAGGCTTGTCCAATGCAAGATGTCTTGGCCCTGCGCGCCCAAAAGATCAGAGCTTGTAGCCCAATGATCTTTTTTAATTAATTGGAAGCCGGAAGCCAAGCCCATTTCCCCGCTGAGGTGCTCCTCCCTCATAAGCTGTTTGGATGTCCCCGTTTACGACTGGTTAAGCTTGGCTAGCAAGCCCCTGAAGCCGCCTGTATGTGGGGAAACTTCTGAACAGGGTGAACAGGGTGGCTTCTTAGCCCGGGGGCTTAACCACTTGCTAAGTAGTAGTAGACTTAAAAGAGAGAGAAAGAGAGAAAGAGAGAGAGAGAGAGAGATTTGGCCGGTCAGCTGAGCGGCACGCCAGCACGCCGTCAGCAATTGCCAGCATTGTGGCAAGCCTCCATAGTACAGGTTGACTGTGGATGTTTTTGGGGATTCCCGACTCGGTCCGAGCATGTCCGAACTTTGCTTTGAAGGCCGGAAGGTTGGGAAGTCGGTGCCATGGTCTTGACCACTCTCCTGGTGCCTTTTGGTTTCCTTTTGGTGCCCTCTGATTCCTTGTTGGTGCGGTTCAGTCTTTGGGAACTTTGGGTCCCTTCTAGTTGCCTTTTGGTTCTTTTTGGTTTTACATTTGAAGCCGACACGACGTGTGTGACCTCCGTTCACGGCTGATTTCTCTCCAGGGTTCGGAAGCCACCTGGATCCGGTCTGGATGTGTCCTCCACTTCCATAGCAAAGGCTATGGTTTTCTATGCTGAAGGCAGGTTCTTGCTGTCAGCCTGCCTTGGTCGAGCCTTACCCAATATGTGGTGGAGGGATCCTTTATTTTAGGTGTTTGGTTTCCCTTTCTTTTGAGATCATCCAAGGGATGCCACGTTTGGGGACATGCCCCAGCCATGAACTGCATGTTGGTCAATCAAATCGGGCACCGTTCCAGGGTCTGCAGTTGGCCTGGCGGCCGAGGTTGGCCGGTGTGTTGCGGACGAGCAATGGACCCCTTTTGGACAAGAGCGGTTTCGAAACAGGACCCCGTGCATGGCCGTTTCCAAACCGTTGCCCTTTTTCAGGGGACTGATTCATAGTTTTGAAATACGGCTTCATTATCATGTCCCTACCCCTTGTATGGCTGGCAGGGCCAGTGAGAACTATTGCACACAGCAGGAGGGTTGCGTGACTGATTGGTTCGCCTTCGGATGTTTTGGACAATGAAGGCCCTGATGTTTTTGCTTGCGTACTCTTTACTTTTTCGATATTACAGTCATGTGGCGGATTTTGTTCCGCAGGCCAGCAGAAATGCCTTGGGCAAATTTGGGTACAGTTAATTGTGCGGCGCTTCAGCGAGGCTTGTGAATGAGCGGCCCAGTCTTCAATTAGTGCTTGGCCTTGAGGTTGAAGTCGGCTTCGTGCTCGATTTGGGGAAGCTATACCAAAAGCTGTGTTCCGGGTCTTTGTCCCAGCTTTCGCCCTTGGTTGGCGAGCAAAAGCTGATCCGAACATGGAGTTTATACCGGGCGACTCCTCGCCAATGGACATGCAAGGACCGCGCTGAAGGGATTTGTGGACTTGTAGGATCAACAACTACATAATTATATACAGATAGGTACATGTTATTTTGTTTCGGCGAGATCCTAGAATTGAAGCCAGGCTCCCTAAGGGCCCCAGGAATCCTAAGCCAAGATTGTGGTTTCCTGAAAGGGAGCACTTTGATCCGGTTCCGATGGACCCTTCCCTATGGCCTATATATGCCTGTGTGTGACTGTCGGAATACTGTCGGAAACCTGCGGGTTTGAAAGTGGCTACTTTGTGTGATATCCTTGGAATCCTCGTTTGACGTGTAGCCATGGGGATGGGAATCAACTTTGTCACAAAAAGCTAGGCTTACAGGATGTGTGCGTGTCGTTTTGCAGAAGCTGCCTCCTCCCAAGGCTTGTTTTGGCCAAGAGGTGAGGAGGGTATGCAAAAGCACACCGAGCCCCCAACAAAAAGTCCCCTCCCCATACAAAAAGGGTCCACGAATTGAGGATTCCAAGCTGTTTTTGATTCGAAAACGTGAAGCCAACAACGCCTGAATTCTAACTGCATAAGCCCTAAGCCCTGAACCCCTAGCTCCCTAAACTCCTGAAGCCTAAAAACCCTTCAACACCCACGCTAACACCCTAAACTCTGAACCCTGAAGCCCCAAATCACTTCTTCCCACCCTCAAACCCCTAATTGCTTCAAGCCCTCGAATTCCACCCCCCAAGCCTACAGGAAACTCTTGAAACGCCAAAAGCCTAAAACTCCTGAACACTACACCGTAGAGCCCGAAAGTGTAAACCTTGAAGGTACAGCTCACAGCGTTTCTTGTGACAAGTGCAGAAACCCAGATTTGCTCTTGTGACAAGTGAGGTAACGTGTGAGGGACGTGAAGACATCCGATGGTCCTGCATCAGGGGCGATGTAGCGGGTATGGCGTAAAATTAGGGATGCCACCTGAAGGATAGCCCTTGGCTTGCGCAGGAACTACAAGATCCCTTTCAGGAAGGTGAAGAGAGGCGTGCCCAAGGCGCGCTGACCTTTTGGCCTTGCGATTTGTCTGTTTTGGACTTCTGTTAGTCATGGTCCCAAGATTGTAGCCTTGTATTTCCATCCTTTGAGCAATGAGAATAATGTCACCCGTTGTTCATGCGCTTGTGAGCGCTTGGCCTCGCCACATTCCGCCGCAGCATTTTGCATCTTGGCTGCGGTAGAGGCCATTCTCGAGAACCGCCCATCGCGCGCTGCCAAAAGTCCGTCCGCCATGTCCATCGAGGTCTTTGACAACTACTTCAAGGACATGCCACCCGCGGATGCTGCAGCAGTCCTGAGGGCGCATGCTTGCGACTTGAAATGAACCATAATTGGGTTTTTAAAGATCCCGCTTTCTGTGATATGCTCGGGACATCCCTGAAAAGTTATGAAGTAGTCGTGTGGATGGGAATCTGCTTTGGTATCACAGGAAGAGTGACTTTCCACAAGCATGAGCAAGATTGGCATGGAGCTAACTAAGACTGGGAGTGTATTGACTCTGCACTGAACATCAACTCAATTATAACTCGTGGGCGTTGCGCGAAGGCTCGCAGGCTTTGGAGTGGAGACTTTGGCGCAAAACGGCTGAACTGCCGCGAACAGCCGATGGTTTTTGGGCCTAGCCAAAAGTCAGGGAAGGGTACTGAATCGCGCTCGGGACCCAGTAGCCAACCGTCCAGTGCCCAACTCAACTCCGCGAAGAAGCAAGCAGCACGAGCTGCAGCGCAGGAGGGCCGCACGATCAAGACAGTGAAGGACGTGGAGCCTGACAAGTTCATCAAGTCCTTCTCCCAGCACCTGAAGCGTCAAGGCCCGCTGAGCCAAGAATTGCAAGTGGGTCATTAAGATCCTTCGCTTGGGGTACCCATAAGATTCCTTGGATTACCAATCTTCAAGATACTTCAAGGGAGACCACCAAGACAATCAAGATCCTTCCAATGCTTCGTGGTTTCCCTATTGAAGTCGGATTGGCCAAGCCTCCATCTGAACGGAATATGAGCGGTTATATCCCACATGGAATCCGACAGCTTGTCACACCAAGTCATACACGAAGCTTTGTTCGGATGTGTGGTTGGGGGTCATGTTCCGAGGCTTGTCACCCAAGACTTGGAAAGTCGAAGAATGCAATAAGAGAACATGGGCCACATTTATATGAAATTTGGTGAAATGGCAAGTATGGTAGTCCACTTCTAAAGTGAGTCAAATGAAAGAACAGGCCCGATAACATAAAGTTGGCTAGTGAAAGACAGAATTATCTTTACTTCCTAGGCTTTCAGAACCTTTTATCGCACCTTTTCATTCTTACCTCTCCCTTACTTCTCCTCTCCACTTCTTTCCTCACCGTGACAGTTTGTGTGGATGAGACAATGCCACACATAAATGGTACAGATAAAATGTTCAAGAGCTCGGGGCAGCCATAAAGTTGTAGAAATCACCCCGCAGCTCTGATATCTTCTTCATTCTGTTTATTTATTACTTGTGTATCTTATTGATTCCATATCTAAAACCAAACGAACCAATATATGCATAGAATTAAGACAAGTATACCAAAATTGGAAAGCGTGACGAGAATTAGAGCTGGGGAATGACATTCTCTCTCCCTCTCTCTCTCTCTCTCGCATTCCAAAGACGATTATTAGCAGAACACAGATGGACCTCTTCCTTGTCTCAGTGATTAGTCACCAGAATGCTGAGGCCGAGAGATGATGAGGGATAGAGCTGAGAGAGTGGACAAGGGATAAAACATTTGAATCACCTTCCTACATCAGGTTCTCCCGCTACAACCCGTGTAACGCCGCTCCATCGTGAATTCCCAGAGCTGGAATAAAATTAAAAGATGGATTGATGGACAAGAGATCCTCGCACAGATCCAAGTCCTGCCGCTCACAACAAGATCATGGGTCGCATGGCGAGCTCACCTGAAGGGTAAGGAAGGCTCCTTATTCGGGAATCCCCTGCTTAAGCCTTGATTTATATGTTTGTAGTTCTTACACAAATACATTGCTGTAGGTTTCTCTCGGTGGAGGGAGGGGGGGGCCTTCGTGGCTGAATTGCTGCTCGACTTGCTCGCTGCTCAACCTTCTCAGCCTATTCAAGCTTTTGACCTCGTGCTTGGTGTGAAGCTCGTGGTTCCTCTCATACCATAAGGGAGCAACATGTACCAACACGCGGCTTGGGTCTTGGGAGCCGCCTTGACTTGCTCCCAGGCCGCTTCGAGCTGCCGAAGTGGGCGGATGTGGTGAAGACGAGCAAGTCCAAGGAGCTGCCGCCCTACGCCGCATCCTCGGCATCGGCGATAAGGTCCCTCCAACCCGTTGCATTGCCAACGTGTGAAAAACCCAAGTAGATGCACGCGATGGAGCATGGACTCCGGAAAAGGGTCCAACCTCAGAAGGTTGACTCTTCTGGAAGAGGTCGGGTTTGGGGTGTGTCAATCTTCAGGAGGTTGCCCCAAGGGAACCGCGAGGACATAGTTGTTCAATTGTGTATAGCCCCTTGAAAAAAAACAGAGGTTGCGTTTCGCTGGGGTTTGGGAGAGGGCCGGGAAAAAAGCCGGCATCAGGAATGGTCTCTCTGTTGTAACGGGGAATTTTTGTTGGGGTGCATTCAGTGCTGATCAGTACGATGCCACTGGTTGGTTCGATATTTTCCCTGATGATGTGAGCTGAGCCGAAGAACAACCCAACTGCTGCTGCTTGCCTTGACTTCTATTGGTGTTGTCCCATCCATCTATTCAGGGAGATGTGAAAGCCGTGTGTGTTTGCTGAAGAACCGTCCTTCTGTTCTAGCCGATGTGACATGTTTATTGGAAAGTTGCATCCTTGCAGCCGGAGCTGCAGAAGTACATTCCGTCTGCTAGCTTGACTTTCATAGTGACAAATTGCGACTTTCCAGCCGGAGCTGCGGAAGTGCCGTTTGTGTACTATCTGGTACTGAAACTGTCCGACTCTACTTGAAGACCCAAGAACCTGTAACAACGCAGACTCCAGTAAAACTCGTTTTGTTTTGTGAAAACCAATCGACACCCAGGAATACCAGTAGTTACAGGCATTCACTTGCGATTTGTTCAGCTGAAGTGCTTCAGGTGGTCCTCATTCTTCCAATGCCATGATTTTGCCAACCCCCGCAACCCATCCATTTTGAACGGGTTTTCTGCGGGTTACTACGGTTTTTCTACGGGTTGTTTAGCGGGTTTGGCAAAGTCAAGCCTTTCGGAAAACACAAACTGTTGTTTTGAATCTACGGGTTTCCTACAGGTTGCTAATTACAGGAAAAATGCGGTTTCCACAGCTACAACCCATCCAAAAGGCTTCAAGTTGTCGAAAAAGAATGGTTCATGTGCAATGCTTTCCATGAGCTAGGATTCATGATGGACCCTGAAAGCTATTTTGAATACTCAACCACCCATGATTCTAAAGGTTCTTTCCCAGAAGTTGGGTTCCCATAAGATCGAACCTTTTCTTGTAAAGTGGCAGACTCAGAACGACGAGCTTTTCAGAAAGAACCAATGGACCTACAAAATCATGGGTTCTGAAGTCTCTAGGTCGGGATCAAACCTACGCGGTCAGTTCGCGAAAGATTCGCGAAAGGCACTGTTCTTTCCGCAAAGAATTGTGGTTTCGGGATAAGATATCTTTGCCCAAACTCCGGCCTTGGCTGTTGCTCGCACTAATCGAGGTGCGTTCCAGTGATAAGATGCTGCTTCTTTTGCTGTGAACATGGAGCAACAAATCATTGCTAAAGCCGCAACTGAGAAGCTCGGTTTTACGATCTGGAAAGATCGGTATAAGAGACATAGCCACCATGGCCCAGCTTCTAGCAGGTCATGTGGGTGTGTCAAAGCTAGACTTCAACCCCGTGTTGGTCCATAGCAAAAAGAGCAGCATGGCAGTATCCATTCAGAATTTGTCTCTGGTTTGACACATCATGGTACAGTAACAAACTCTCGATGCAGCTGAGGACCCGGATTGGCTGTACGTGCGAACAGCATCCATGGTGCGGAAGATCTACATCCGCAAGGGCATGGGTGTCGGCCGCCTGGCCTTAGCCGAATTTGTGGGAGCAGGTCGGAACATCGAGGTTGTGGGATTGTTTGGACTTTGGTTTAAGAACCGTGCAGTAGGCGTCTTGCTGCGCTTCAAGATCTTGAGGTGGCTGGAGGGCGGATTGTGCAACCTTTGACTCCAAAACAATGTGCTTGTAGTCATCATGGTCTCTGCTGTTTGTGTTGGGCCAGCCTCGTGGCTGACTGAATGCGTCGTCTCCCTGCCTTCCGAACACTTTTTTCGTGGCAACTGGACAGCAGTCTAGCTTTTCCGCACTTGCTCTCAGGGTCACCGAGGCCCGTCTTGTTTTGAAGGGGCCGGGCGTGCAAGTGTCAAATGGGCTGTTTGCCATTGCTTCGTTCTGCCCCAAGAGAGGAACAAATTCCTGGCTGGCGGCAGTGCAAGATAAAAGTCACGTGAGGGTTGAAGTGGACCCAGGATGTTGAGACAACACGGAACCCAAACATCAGTTTAGAGGAATCTCCTGGAAGGACCAGTACATGTTTCACGTTATGATTCCTGACAACCAACGCAGCTGCAAAATACCCTCCCTTGCCTGGAGAGTCGATCTTCCCACCTTCATAGATCTTGCACTGGAAGACATTCAGAGAATCTTCGTGTGTGTGTGTGTGGGTTGGGAGGGTCACCAAAAGCGAACCCCCCCCACCTCTCAGCTCGGGGTGTGTGTGTGTGTGTGTGTGCGCGAGTTATATTGGAAGCGAGAGGTTAGATTGTGTGCGCGAGTCAACCGGAGTCCCTCCCTTGCCTAAGCCTTGCCCGGGGATGCTAACCAAGGTCCCATCATTCCCATCCCTATGCTCGCCCTGAGGCGCCTTCCGCAAAGTCTACGGTGGCCAGCAGCGACGAGGCACCTGCACGAACAAGTTCGCGCGGATCCCAAAAAGGTCTGGGCCAATGACCGGCTGAACCTAAAGTTCCTAAAGCTAACTGG